CACAAAATTCGTTAGGGTTCTTCTTTGGCGAGGAGCTTCACCTAGCTCCACAATAAGGACGATCTGACCTAGGGCTTCGATAGGATCCCTAGAAAATCCCTGTTGCTTCCTTGGATACTGTTGGAGGTAACGGACTGATATTTCCAACTGCCTCAAGGTTCGTGAGTACAGTATGTTGACCGAACTTCTATTGTCCACTAGAGTACGGTGGACTTTTACTCTAGCAACCGTCATTGTGACTACCAGGGCGTCACTCTGGCTTTGAAGGATTCCTTCAAAATCTTCTTTCGTGAACCAAAATGATTCAGGGTCTAAGCTAGTCTTAGGGGTTTAGTTCCAGTAGTTCGGTACGATTTTTGCACTTCGGGCTTGCCTTCGCCTGGCCCTTCTGGATCCTTCGATATACTGATTTTCGCCCACCATCATTTTGATTTCGGCATGTGGGAATGGGTTACGGTTGGGGATTGCCTGCTGGGCTCGTGTGGGAGCCCCCTGTAGTAGTGGCTGCTGCATCGTAGGTCGATCTGCTTCTTTTGGCTTGGCAACAAACTCCTGTGACTGACTTCTTTGAATTAAGGATTCAACTTCCTCTTTTAAGTCCCGGCAGTTATCAGTGTCATGTCCCATCGTCCTATGGTATCGGCAGTATTGTCCCTGGCGTTGTCTGGCCTGTCCATCCTTTAGGACTATAGGTTTGCGAAATGCTTCTTTTGTATTGGCTTGCGTGAATACCTCTTCCAAAGAGGCTTTGAGTGGGTGGTACTCCCAGAACTTGTATGGCTGAGCCCTGGGACATTCTCTTTCTCTATTGTCCTTCTTTCTTTCTGGTTGAGGACTGGGCTTGGTTTTTTTTCTTTCACCACATCAATGAGGTCAATTTCGCGTCTTGCTTCCTCTTGGTCAGAGGTTGCTTCTTCAACGCTTATGTATTTCTCAGCTCGATTTAGGAACTCGTGATAAGTCATTGGATCGTCCTCGTGTACTGACCACCAGAATCTCGTTTTGAGTCTTAGTCCTGCTAATACGGCCATGAATGCTGCATCGTCAGATATTTTTTCCACTTCCATGAATTGCTTGTTGAACCTACTCAGATAGCTTTTGAGGGATTCACTTCTTCCTTGCTTGATGCTCACTAGACATTCTTTGGGTGAAGTTCTAGCCTTGGAGCCCATAAACTAGGCTAAGAATGCCGTGGCCAGATCATTCCAATCTTTTACCGACCTTTCGTGTAGTCTTCTAAACCATTTTTGGGCTTTGTCTCTTAGAGTCAGGGGAAATGTCCGGCACATGATTGCGTTGCTTGCCCCTATAGTTCCATCTACGAGGTGTATTTGTCAAGGTGGCTGAGGGGATCCCTATCCCCTTCGTATGCGACGATCTGGGAGTGGTTTCATAAGGACATCCCAGTGAAGGGGGAATGTCGTTTGGTTTGGTAACCTTTAGTGCCACCTTTATTTTTAGCCTCCAGTTCGGCGATGCGTTTTTTAAGGGCGCTTAGTTCGGTTCTGTTTGTTCCAAAGAACGTTTCAGGTCGGTTTGTCCTTGCGTAGGAGTCAGCAAGTGATGGGTCCCCAATCTGTCAAACACACTTGCAGTCCTTCTCACCTCGGGTTCCTTGCTTTTGGTCTCATCGGTTTGGCTTCTTGATGATTCTCCTCTTGAAAAGTAGAGAGTCCTCCTAGCGGGGGGACACTTTGCCTTTGTCCTTATAGGGGATTCCACCTAGATATCTGGTGAGGACAAATGGGCTTGGCTCCTTTCCAGTCGTCCCACTGCATTTGTCAATTTTTCCAGGGCTTCCCTCATTGCGATCATTTGAGGGTCCTATCGTTGTGGAGAACTCAGTGGTATATTCGTTTCATGAGGGTGGATGTGAGATGGATTTCTGGAACTTGAGCTATGGCTCATGGCTCTTGAAATTTTTTGGAGCGAATGAAACTATTTTTCACAATTAGAGGCCCTCCTTCTAGCGCCAAATTGTTGATGTCAAAATTAGCAAGGATAATTTTGAACCAACTTTAAGAAAAAAAAGCAATTGATGCTTAGAAAAGATCACAAAGATATCATTTTAGTGTGATTATGTCATAAGTCGTTATATGAATTCGCTCTGCTTTTATAAGGGTCCTATTCGACTATTTATACATAGTTTCAGTCGAAATTACATCAAATCAGCAACAGTGCCGAGCTCGAAACTCAAGCGCCAAATTCTCCTGTGATTGGTCGATGAATCCAGTGGTCATGTGTCAATGTATTACCTAGGTAATGATGACTTGTAAGGGGCTGGAGTTCGAGAACTTGGAATTGATTGTTCCGGGCGGCGATGACGTCACCTGTGGTAAGTGTATCTGATTGATAGGGTGATGTGACGAGGGGTAATTATGATGTTTTTCTAAGATAATGGCGGGTAACTCCGACCTGGGGGTGTGGGCCGAACTTACGTTTAACTGAGATGAGGTTAGCGAGCTGTTTATACTATATCAGAGTTCGGATGTCAATAGCATACATGGCCTAATTTCCCCATTTAATTTTCTTTAAAAAAGAAGTAAATAGAGCAAAGGCCTAGCCCAAGAGAGAAACTTTGGTGGGGCGGTCGCACCATCCACGTGGTGAGACTGCCCAACACCGATGTGCCACCTCTACAGATGGCCCACACACCTTGGGAGTGTGTGGTGGCCTACCTGTCGAGGTAGCGCACATTGATGGGCGGTCGCACTGCCACGTGTTGCGACCACCCTACTTAAGTTTTTTCCCTAGCCCAGTGGGGTGCAATTGTCCCCACTGGCCTATCATAGGTCACCTTTGACTCACAATTTAAGCCCACTACAAGCCTCATTTTGGTAAGAAATATATTTTGCAATAGTGATTGTTTGGAGAATGTATTGTTAAAAAAAAAAAAAAAAAAATTCTCAGTTTATGCGTAAAATTATTTTATAGAAAAATATGTGTTTGAAAGTGAGTTTTGAAAAATAGGGGCCAAACATAGCTAAATAAGCAAACCATTAAATTATTGTCTGTAAAGTATTTTGACCTTTGAAGACGCATTTCCTTTTATATCCAAATATATTGAATGTATTATAACAAGCATTGATTAACTTCCTAAGTATTCTTGTGTAGTCTTGCAAAGAGTCAACACAGCAAATCAAGTAATTTTATCATGTCCACTTTATACGTTACAAATGAAATTCCACTTTTTAATATCACATGGACAAGTACATCTATAAATATCACTCTCTTGAAATCCTTCTTTCTTTATTAGCAATTGTCTTGTCTTTCTCTCTCTGTGTAATTCTCTCCATTATTAAAAACTAATTAATACAAAAGTGCATTTCTCATCATCATGTTCGAATTTGGCGAGTTTTGGACAAATAATGGTCAAAGCACTTCTATGGCTTCATATCACCCAGTGTTGCGTGAGATTCATGTGTTGCTGGTGGATCATGATTCTTGTTTTTTGATTTCTACTGCAAAAATGTTAGAGCTATGTTCATACAAAGGTAGACGTATTAAGAATTAATTTAACTTTCATAGAACATAATATCAATAGAAGCTAATGTGCTTTTCGATGTTCGATTCAATTTCCTTACATATATGTGGTTTAGATATGAAATGATGATATACATTTGGTTGGTTGAATTTCTTTTTTCTTCATTTTGAATTATCTTTCTATTTATTTATGGTTACACCTATTATTCTTTCTTCATACAACTTTGTTGAACGTTTCTTATTTGTTGCAATTTATTTACCCATTTGCTTGGTTCTCAAACCTCATTCGAATTATTCGATTGATATAGCAAATTATTCATACTTGCAAAGTTGTGAAAGGTTGAGTAGAGTAATACATCATTTCAAGGTTATTGTTTTTCATGCATACTAGCAAAGTTCTGATAGCATAATTACAGAAAGTATACGTCACCGAAGATAATCTCTTGGATGTAAGTTTTAATCACTGGGTTTGAATAATTATATAAAAATTTAAGTTTATATAGGCATAAAACTTATATTTACCATTGTACATCAGAATATGATACCATACATAATAACAACCTTGCCATTTTATGTTTTAATATGGTTTTCAATCATTTTTCTTGTCTGGTTCATTAATGTTTATAGAGCATCGTAATCTTTTACCCGCAGAAAAATATGTTTTATATCTTAATGCCTCCTTAATCGACAAATTATTTTAGTTTTTCTCTCAGATTAAACCACTTCAAGTTGATACCAAAAATTATCATGAACTTTTATGACATCTTAAGAAAGTTATACTTGTTTATTTAGTCAATTTTTTCAAAGAAAAGAAAAATCAAAGGGAAGTTGCTATAATAAAAAAAAAAAATTCGGGGGGGGGGGGGGGGGGGGGGGGGGGGAATAAAAGCTGTCTTACTCTTTTTGTCATGAATTTCTTTTTTATTAATTATTATAAGGTCTTCCATTTTCCAAACTTCACTTATAGCCATAGCCAGTCCAAGGCCGAGGCAATTGAGACCTACGCCTCAAGCCCAAAACCAAAGGAGGACTGATTTTGGTCCTCTTCTTCTTCTTATTTATTTTTAAATGGTTTAGGGAGTTAAAGGAAATTTTGGTTTTTCATTCGTTTTCCCTCCTGCATGTGACAGTGCGATCGACGATCCATTTTAATTTTATCAAGACAAGATCACAAATTTTTTGGGACAACTCTGGAGTCTGGATGTCATTTTAATTTTGTATTGTTTCTATAAATTCATAATGCTCAAATTTTTGCGTAAATAATCGAAAATATTATTGAATTTGCAAAATGGAAAATGGGAATTTGTTCAACACATCTTGATCCAAGAATGTGTGTCCTACTTGAACCTACAACGTTTGGTATATATTTATTATTTAGTATCCCCGACTGGCATAAGGCAGCAATAGGGAATTGTCTAATGATGAAATATTTATTTCAGACTTGTGAGTTGTGACGATGAAATTCTCAAGGGTGTGATTCCATAATTTTCGTTAAAATTTTACTTCTCAGATCAGCAATGGCTTGTCCTAACTTGTTATTGAATATGTTGAAAATGTTTGAAGCCTTATCAGCTTATATAATGGTGGTCTGGTCTACTTATTTGATTGACTATTATATGATCAATAATTGTACAGGCGCACATAGTAACAATATTGAAAACTCTAATTGTGAGATGATTGAGATATTTCGTAATTTCTTTTAGGTTAATCATTGGGCATTAAGTTGCATGATATATTCTTGAAATAATATATTTGTTTGTCATTTTAATATTAAATTTTAAGTTAACAATATGATGCAAGATATACCTTTGAATTTTGCATTTACGTTGATTTCGACGGGAGGGGCCCAATGTATAGACTTCGCCTCGAGCCCCAATGATCACAGGACCAGCCCTACTTACAGCTAATACAGCCAAATAATTTCTTTAATAAGAGGGTGTACCTTTTAGTTCTTTCTGTATTTTCCTTTTGACTAATTAGCTTTCCTACGTTGATTTTTTCAGTTTCCTGTGTTGAACTTGCGTCGACTGCTTTATCCATGCTTTCAAGTGGACAGTCACATTTTGATCTTGTCATGGCAAATATCGACTCTCCTGACTTACATGGATACAAACTCCTCGAACAAGCAATTAACATGGACATACCCATCATTTGTAAGGATTTCTTACACTAGCATTTGATCTTTTGTTTTAATGGATAGAAATACATGAACCTAATGGAATGACTTGGAATGATTCTTGCCGTCCGCTTTAGATTTGTTAGAAATTAGAACCCATATTCAATTATTAGATTTTATGGAAAAGAAAGAAACAAGTGTTCTTATCAATAAACTTAGCATCGAACAAATATCTTTTCTAATAAATATAAGCATTTCATATATTGATTTCCATCTAAATTTTGCGTTTTATTCAGTGATGTCAGTTGATGACAATGATTTCCTGGCAATGGGAGCTCTCAAAAATGGAGCTTTCCTCTCTATCAAGAAACCAGTTACAGTGGACATGTTACATTGCCTTTGGCAACATGTGCTGAGAGAGAGAATGAAGCTTTACAGAAAAATGGAAATAATTATGGGAATGGATGCCGCTAACCATCATATCGTTAAAGGAATTGGTGACGAGAGAAGCAACATGCAGAACAACAATTACACTGGAAAGAAGAACATATGTGGACAAAACAGTTTGGACAAAGAATTTGAATCGGAAAATCAAATAATCAACAATATCGTTAAGAGAAAAGTATGCACTGAGTGGACTCAGGATCTTCATGTAAAATTTATGGATGCTGTTGTGCAGCTTGGTGAAGGAAGTATATCTTTGTTCCCTTAATACCTTTTATAATTGGAACATTATGCAAATTTGCATCCACTATTATTTATACCTCTACTATATTATGTTTTTTTATGAGTGTATTCCTAAAAATATATAAGCAAGATAACACTAAAATATATTACATGTGGTGATCGAAAATAGGGTGTTTTCCTAAAGAGATTCTGGAGCTAATGAATGTTCCCGGCCTGACAAGAACACAGGTAGCAAGTCATCTTCAGGTTAGTTTTCTAGTTTAAGAAATTAATTTTTTATACATTGTACACAACTTATTTAATGATTTATTATGTAATATTAAATAGCATCACACCATATCTAAGAAAAAAGAAAAAAAAAGTTTGTTAATTGTTGTGATCTATCTTATACCCTTTTCGGGATTTTTGTCAAGTAGAAATGCCGGAACAACAATTGGCGAGCTCCTGAAGAGCGAAAATCTCAACAAAACAATTCTCCTGCGGACTCTATAAACATTGATGTATTGAGCCGAAAAAAGCCAAGAAGATTTGGGTCGATGCCTCCAAGTAAGAACACTCTGTTGATTAAAGAGCATCGTGAAACTGGTCAAAGTTCCAACATCTATATTGCAAATGAAAACCCAAATGATGGTGGACGAGGACATGAAAATATAAATATTGCACCAATAGTAGATTCCCATGAGCAATATCATGAGAACTTTGTGTGTGGTCAAAGTAATGCGAGTACGACCTCGAATTCTTCTTCAAACTCTAGATACCCATTGGATGATTTCTTTAGTTTTCCAGACAGGGATTGTCTGACTCAGAATTTTTCTGGTAAACAACAAGAAGCTGAAATGATAATGAATCAAAGACATTGCCAGAAAACTCTTCATTTCGACCAAGTTTATCATGAAGAGGTACCATGGTTAACATTCTTAATTTTTTTTAGTATGATAATATATGAAAAAGTAGGGAACAATGCTAAAACTTGTCAATTATAGTTTCAGTCCCATCAGAATTCAGCAGTGCCAAGTGTGGAAACCAGGAGCCTTGTGACTTCAGAGACGTCAAGCTTTGCAAGAGACTCTTCAGAAACCAGAGGAAAATAAATTGGATAATTCTGGAGTCCAATATTATTGAATAAGTATACGCATGCAATGACATTTTGCATACAGTGATATATCAAACCAGCTATATTTTTTCTTTCTTTTTCTTTTCGGGTACAAGAACATCAAACTATATAATACCCATTAAAGAGTAACGTGCAGGATGCTGCATATATATAAATGGGGTTTGTCTCTTTTTACTATTTCTGTTGGACATTTTGATCATTTATATTCTGCTATAGTTATGACAATCTTGTCAGCTATAATTTTGTTTATATGCGTATTTGGATAATTATCTATTTACATGAATAGATATTAATATTATCCATATATTTATTATATATCTAGAATGGAATTGTGATTGTTTAAGGCCATTTTCTATGCCTTATGGTGGCCAATTTCACAGCTTCTGCTTCCAGATTTTCATATTAATTGTTAGATAAATGGTACAATGGTGATGGCAATTGGCGTGACCATCACATGGTGGAGCGCTAGGGGCGGTGACCAACGGCTCATAATCGTGAAAATCACAAGTGTAGAATATCCCCAGTGAATGAAGTATCATTCAATCTAAGACGGTGTTGCACCCATCAATAAGAAAAATACTTATTGCTCAGGTTTAAAGCCAAATAGGGGGGCGCCACTGGGTCCCCCTATCTAGCCCTGGCTTTGAGCCTGGGCGTGCAGAACAACTGCATCAGTAAATCCTATCGCTACTTGATAATTTTTCTTTAAAATTATATAATCCAAATTAGCGGCGGAAATAACGACACTCTGTCGCTAATCATCAATGAAATTAACTCGTAGGTAATTTGCTACGGAAAATTTGTAGCTAATGTCGTTAATTAGCTACAGAAGTAATCATCGTTAAATACCAACGAATATTTTTCATCGCTACTTTACCAAAGGCCTATATAATTCGTGGCTTTCACTTTCGAATATACCGACAGGTGGATTCTTTTACTAAAAGGTATTACCAATGGATTTCTAACCATCAACAATGAATATTTCTGTCTCTAAATCCTCTTCTTTTTGTGGTGGCATTTATACCCAGGAATCCTTTAATTGCCCTTAAGTTGTACAAAACTAGCAAGCTTCATATTCTAGTACCTTTACATTTCGCACAGACGAGACTATTTCCCTTTGATTTTCAACCCTACAAAAATACCATAAGGGGTCCCCAGTTTACATTTCTAGAATGAAATTTTTTGCGCCTTAAACCATTTGTACAGCAAATGGTTTCACAGAATAGCTATAGATGTGAAACATGTGGGCGGACTCCACGTATTTAAAATATTGTCCAAAAATATCACTCACCCCCATGTTGTGTGTATTATGTAAAAATTCTATAAATCAATTTTCTGAACATGTAGACTCTCTCTTTTTTTGCTGCAATTTCCATCCCTATGAAAATGGTCGGAGAGGAAGCCTCTCGGCTCTGCTTATTTCCTCAGGGATGAAATTCCACAGTCTCAGTCTGGTTTCATGTTTCTCAACTTGAATTTTCTGTAGTCATTTTCTTTCATTCAACTTTCCTCACCTTTATTTGATAAACCACAGAAAACAAAGTTTTCATTACGCACCACTATCATTCTTTGCAACAAGGCAGGAGTTTTCCTAATCAAGCAAAAAAACACAAATTCCTCATTTATTAGTTGGAAATCACTCATAATCATTCAATATTAGGACCGAAATAAACCACACCAGGATGCCTTCTGCCTTTATTATCTCTCATGCATTGCTTCAATTTATGTTAATGGTTTCTATACTTTAGTTGGGATTATTCTGGTCTTTAGTTGTGCAAAGATTTTGTTGGGTAATTAACTCAAAAGTCAAAAGTTGGAAGACTTCTATTGTAAATAATAAAAAGTTAGTTAGTGTATGGAAGACTTCTAATTAAAGTTGAGAGCAGAATTCTTACAGAATTTGGTCTCCAATTTATAGTCGGCTTTGAAGTCTTGCGCATGAAGGAATCCTTGTAGAGTTAAAAGAGTTTGGTTTGAGTTTAAATTAAACTCTACTACTTGATTATTGATCCTACAAATAGTGGGTACATTTCATTCTTTTGGGTGTGGCTAGAGAGTTGATCTGAGAGAAAAATATTGTGAGCCTAGCATTTTAAGACTTTTCGTACATTGGGTCAAAAAGTAGGTGTGGTAAAGCTCGGATTTATTTTTTTTTCTTTGTAATACTTCGGGATTAGATTGATAAGTGAAATTCTATATGATTGTAACAATTTTTCATATAGTGAAAAGATTTAAAGGTCCGTTTAATTTATGCCTTATATTCTTTATTTTTGTTATTTGCTAATATTCTTCTGAACAACAAAATATCTTGTGGTTAAATAGGAATAAAGGGAATTGGCGTAAAATTTTCCAACATATTTAGGCTTCAATGTTGTTCTTCACAAGGAGGATTCTTTTTTTTTTAAATAAATAAATTGAAGACTTCGGAAATTGTTCCAAGTTCTCTCACCAACCAGTATTTTCAATAATTAGCAAGTTGCATTTGTATATGTGGTTTCGTTCTCATATATCAGCTTCATCTATAAAACTTATTTTACTTCCAGAAACCGAAATTCAGTTTTTTCAATTCATTACTCTCTTTCTTAATATTACATGAGGGATATATAAACCGGTGCAACAAGCAAATTGCTTGGTCAGTTGATGCGTAGGATAGGTGCTAGTGCCTCAATCAAGTTTAGGAAAATCCTACGAGTAGAATGTCACACCAAACCATGTATAGTTTTCTTCTGGAGAATATATATGTCGCTTTATCAAGTACAAGTATATATACACATTAAACAAAATTTCAGCTTCCCATGACAGGAGAAACTCAACAATCAAAGCAAAAGTAAGATTATTTCACCTGTATTTGAACACCAAAAGAGCCCAAGTTCTTATTTCTATGACACCAAAAAGTTTATGTTCACAAAAAATGCATATTCTTTTATTTCTCCATAAGGTAATTTTTAATTAGGTCTATATTTGTTTAATGGATATATAAATCCTAACACATCGTAAAATTTTGTATGTTTTCAAGAGGGACGGATCCAGGATTGGATCCAAGATCGGCTACAGAATTTCAAATTGAGCTACTACATGGAAAAAAAATTTATATATAAAAAAATTGGTTTTTTACCAAAAAAAAAAAAAAGAAAACCTTAAAAAATACTTGGGGGGAGGCGGGGGCTACAGCCCAACCCCCCTAAATCCGTCTCTGGTTTTCGATGTACTTTTACTTTAACAAGCCGTTAGCATTTTAATATGTGCCGAACCATTGATTCACCCAGTTAACAAATGATATTAATGAAAGTAGAAATTGTTTTAAAGTTAACTAGAAGTAGGTTACTATTCATCACGATACTGCTATGGACGTAAAGGTGTAAAGCCATTTCACGGACCTACCAAAACGAACGCACATGTGAAACAACTTGAACTATAATCATGAATAGTGAATACTGTTTATGATTTAGCATGTTGTACGTTTCCCACAATAGAAGAAAATTGTGAAAATATTGTCACTATCTACCTCCCAATTTACTAGACGAGAATATTCTTTTCTTTATTTTGTATTTGACTTTCCTTTTCAGTGTAGATATCCATATCTTTACAATCTATAGCATTATTTACCATGTAGCGTTCATTCGTTTTATATCTAACTTCTAATAAAAAGAGGAAACAGAGTCTACTATTGATGCAATAGCAACTTAATCCAATTTTACTATGTATGATGTCATTTTTTATTTTTCGTTTTGTTTATGTCAAACAAATATTCTTCCACACATCATGTCTCTAACATTAAAAAAATAATTATGTCAAACAAATGTTCTGTCACACATCATACCACTAGCGGTAAAAAAAATATTTTAGTAAATATAAACTGAAATGGCATTCTGTGCGACCACTGTCCTCACATAGTGTGGAGTAAAAAATAAAAAACAAAAAAAAACTTTCCGCATAGTGACTGTCACATGCGTTGCACGAATTTTGCATTTATCGTATTTTTATTAGTATATGAATTTTAGTTTTTTGAAAAGTTTTTGAAGCAATATCTAAAAATATTTCCATGATATAAGAAAATAATTGTAAATTATTTTTACAATTACATAATAGTATTGTGTTATCTAGAAAAAAATATACTTGTATATTTCATACTTGAATAAGAAATATACGAGATTATACAAATTATTTTGCTTGTATCCTTTGATAGTGTTAATATGATTGAGTTGAATGTGAAGATTACATTTCTAAATTGTGTAATTCAATACTGAAAAATTGAAGATTGAGCACTATATTCATATGCATTTATATTTTATGCTTCATATATATTTAATATTTATTTTATACTTATGTCGAAAAAATAAAAATCTGAAGTTTTTTTTTTAAATTTGATTTGGTAATTGAATGTATGATGTTCTGCATTCTCGGTATTTGTAAGTGCAAAAATCAGTATATAAAAATACAGTAAGCTGCAAATACGATAGATAATATATACGGTAAGTTGCAAATACGGGAAGCAACATATATGGTAAGCTGTAAATACAATAAGGTAAAAATACGGTAAGTTGTTTGAAAATACGTTAGGCTACAGATACGGTAAGTTGCAAATACGGTAGGCAGCATATATGGTAAGGTGCAAATATGGTAATTTGTTTGCAAATATGGTAGGCTGCAAATACGGCAGGCTACAAATAAGGTAAATTGCATATACGGTAAGCTGCATATTTGGGACCTATTCAAGCGTTGCCTCAATTAAACAATAATGGTTTGTTGATCTAAGAGAATCGTGTAACTGGTGAAGATTCAGATATCTATACTGAAAATGAAATGCTAAATGATGGTGGACAAAGACATAAAAACATAAGTATCACTCCAATCCTAAATTCCCACCAACAATATCATGAACACTTTCTGTCTGGTCCAAATAATGCCAGACCTATCTCAAATTATTCTTCTAACCCTACGGATCCACCCGAGGATTTCTTTAGTTTTCCAGACACC